AACCGACCTAGATCACCGAAGACCGAAGTCTTGCCAAACCGGAGTAGGCGCGAACCAAGGTCCTACCTCCTAAGAACAAACCGAGGTCTCACCTCCTAAAGCAGGTGACAAGGCGCCTACGCACCCCCGCCACGAATTACGAGATTTTTCATCATTTAAATGGGGCCCACTGATCCTGCCGCCCATCAAAAAGTAGCTTTATGAAAAAAGCTAATGCACAAATCCCGAGATGTACGTAAAAAGTCGCTATAAATAGACTACCTCCAACACATGTACGGGGGATCCCGAACTCATTAATATGCAACACGTAAAAGCCTATAACGGCTCTTCACCTCGGTTCACCTCGGACCGGGGCCATTGTTGAGTTCTTTTTTACATGCTTTACGTTCAAACCGTTCGTACTTATCAACTTAATCACTTGTTACATCGTTGTTACAAATCGCATAACAACAGTTTGGCGCTAGAGGAAGGGCCTCATAAGTGATTTGAGGTTACTCTCCGCTTTCACGTGTAGCGATTCACGCCAGCCATATTCGCCATGTCTCACTCAGAACATCGTGGTCATACCTCACGAGATGGCCACAGTCGCAGCGCCGCGCAATCCGCCAGACGACAAGTCGCGGCCCCGCCTATACCGGATTATGCTGTTCTGTTTCAAAATCCAGAGTTTGCACGTGGTTTTGCCGCTCTAATGGCCCAAACGATTCCGGGAACCTCAACGACTGCTCCGGGACACTCCATTATTCCCGCGACTCCCGCAAACCAGCAGAATCCACCGGCGCGACAAGACGACGGAAGGACAACATCTCATGCTACATCTCAACCTCGTGATCGAATGTCGCAACCGCCTCCGGAACAAACTACGCGTCGCACCGATGTCGGACGTAACCCCCTCGTACTTCCTCGCGAAGAAACCGCAGAAAGTCAGTCTGGGTATTCACGACAGTTGCCACCTCAGGCCCGACAACGAATCATTTCTAATCCCGCGCAGACTGACCTTCGACAGCATATTGAAAGAAATCGGGCTCGTCAAGAGTCTTCAGAGCTCGAAACATTACGGCGGAGGATTGCCGAATTGGAAAGTCGGCAAAGGGTGCCAGAAGATCCACCCCGACGGGCCTCAACTTCGGCACAAGTATACCTAGAAGCTGACTCACCCCTCACACCGGAGCTCACTTCGGAACCTGTGCCTGGGAAAGTCAAAGTCCCTCAAATTGGACTATATGATGGAACTTCAGATCCCGACTCACACCTCGGTCATTATACCTCGTGGATGGATCTGCACGGAGCATCGGACGCACTTCGGTGTCGTATGTTTTCTCTCACGCTAGGGCCTCGAGCCCAAAAATGGTACCATTCTCTTCCTCCTCACTCTATTTGGAAATGGCAACAATTGAGGTCGGCTTTCCGATCTCATTTCATTGGGGCTCAAGTCTGCCTAATCCCAAAAGAATCTCTTGCAAATGTCACTCAAAAAGACGATGAAAGTGTCAAGGATTATATTGCCCGCTTTAATGACCGAGTTCAAAATATGGAACCTTGTCATCCTGAAACTCTGCTTGTTAT